AGGATTCGACGTGCAACTGATTCCCCGGCAAGAGCACAGGAAATCACCCTACGACGCTCCAGGCAACGCTATGTACACACGCAATTCCGCTTGTAAGCCGTTGTCTTGCAGAGTGAAAGTAATCGTGGTTGCAATGGTTGCAATAATCACGCGTCTCTAGCTTCTTTATCTCGCCGTTTCGAGTGACGAAAAAGGTATATTCTCTGCGAATGCGGACAACGATGCCAAATGCACGGAGGCATTCCGCGGACCTTTTGTTCGCGGGAACTTCTTAAAAAAATACATAGTGAATATTTGAAACCCCTTTCTGAACTCCAGCTGGTCACCGGGATATCTAAAGACAAATTATACATTCTTCTCCGAAAACGATCTTTTCCACGTGCGAGGCGAATGAACGCACAGCTGCAATAGCGTGCCAGTTCTCCGCTCGGAAGTGCATGGGAACGGGATGGACGGGGATAATAGCCGGGTACCGTCTTCACCGCCTGCGCTATCCTCAAGGTACAGAACTTGTGCCGTAATCAGGGTTCCGCACCGAAACAACTCAGCCGTGTAGAACAACCATTACTGAAAAAAAGCAGTCAAGTACTTCGTCAAGCTATGGTTAGGCGTGTGCCTGGACGTGCGGCAGAGCGAGCAGAGTCATGAGACGGCACCCGGGTATCACTGCCCCTCAGCCACGTTGTTGCACTTTTGAGCAGAGAAAGAGGGGCGCTACAGCAGTTAGGGAACCATTCACCTCGCACATGACAAGGATTCATGAAGGTAAGGGTACAATTCGTTTCTGAACGGATTTCCCTGTACTTAAGAAGACTCGTTTTTCAAATACTCAAGTAAGATGTAGAGCGTAGTAGGTCTTTACCCCGATGACGTCATTATTTCCGACATTGGACTTGCACGAAAACTCATGATGCAAGCCTCCAAGCAGCTGACTCTTATCTTTGGATTCTAGCGACTTCTTCTGTGCTGCCCCTCATATAAGGCTCAAGGGAAGGGTTTATTCTAGCAGTTTCCTTACAGCTTACAGCTTAAAGGCAATTCCCGCGACCACACTTCATAGGTAATACAGTTCAAAAATAGAATTGCCCTGTGTTTGTTGACTTATTGAAGAGAAGGAAGCACGAAAAAGCGCCCGGAATAAGACCCTCTTTATTGCAATTGATCATGATCACCGGACGAGCGTAAGGTGGTCAAGATCAATTGTGGATTGCAAAAGGCGGCGATACACTGATAAGAGACGAGAGAGGCCAGAAAATGACGGGCGAGAGAGCGCAATGGCAGTCTCACAACGACACGGTCACTGGAGGCCGGCATGGGCCTATCGGGCGCCAATGGGCCTAAAACCTGAGCGCCCTGCGTTTTGCTTGCTGTTTTTCAACTTTTAAAAGCAGCATAGCCTCTGACGTTGCCTGCTTGACCATCGTGCACGGTTATGAGAACCTAGCAGTTTATCGCGGAGCGTCCCTTTAAGTAGTAACCAAATATATAGCTCGCTGTGCTATAACGTTTAAGCTGCGCCCAGTTTTCGGCACATAAAGGTACAAAAATAACCATTGTGAAAGCAGTGCAAGCAAAAGCTCCACAATACCCATTTTTTACAGCACCTAGCCAGGTGCGCTGAGCTACAAGCAGCGCATCATGGCTGCAACCACTAATCCCAGATACACTCCTTCGGATCCCCCAAATTCTGTATGACGTTCCAATTGTGACAAGGAAAAGACACATGGATAGGAACGTTGCCGCACCCGAATTCCTGAGCATCCACGCCAACGACTGCGCAGGTTGAAATGCTCGGTGAGCAATGAGCCGCCACAACGCAATACAATCTAAGTTTCACTACTAATTACACTAAACCGAAACGAGAACTTCTGCATACTGCTAAACTTGTACACGCACTACTTACCACATGTGTTGAGGTCTGTGAATACTTTACTCATTATAGTAGGCAGTTGAGCTCGTTTTTCGGGTATATGTAGGAAACCGCATTCCTAAACAGAACGAATTAAAAAATACAATTCCCAAGGGCAGTTCATATGTTGGCGCTGGAGAGGGAGAGACGGACTCAACTGTGAGGGCGACAGTCCGCCCGCGTTCATTTGTCATTTCCTCACCCTCTTTGGATATCGTAGCTCACCCCATGAGGATGGTGGACGTGCTAGTTTCGCCACTCAAAAATGCGAGAGAATAGCGGCGCCCGCTCGTGAAGAGTCGGCCACCCCGCCCACCTGGCGACCACTACGCCCAACTTCATTTCTAATGGTTGCCTGATGGTGCGGTTGTTCTGCTACTAACTCTCTCCACGTCGAATGGTGAGAGTGAGGTGATAAGGGAAAACAGCTGATACCAACAAGTGAGAACTCGTGCGGCCGCGCCTTCTCTTCGCCTTAAGCACGTACAACCTCAGCTCGGCGTGGGGTCCTATATAGGGCATATCCGATGATTTTTTTGCATTTTTCTTCACTAATGAACTACTTGCTACCTTGTTGTAATTGTCTGAGCCCCATAACTGATCAAATTGAACGCGGGCGCTGCTTTGAGGACAGTTGTCGCTTCAAGCAGAGGCGCAAATAAGAGAGCGCAGGCGACAAAGAAAACCTGTCCCCACCCTCTTCACTGTCATGTGCTTAGCTTCCACTCCACACAAGCTTGGTGAACCAGTCTTCATGGCCTAGGTTTAAACGGGATTGCCTTCTTCAGGGCCTGAAAGGATTGAAACAATCCATGCAGACCCGTCCAAACGTCTCCACTACCCTACTGAAAATTGAGATCAGCAGAGATCGTCACACATTCGTAAGAGGGGCCATTCGTCCTAGCACAGCTCGATCCTCAGGGCCCCGGTCTAGTCGGCAGCAAGACCGTTCCTTCCACCTCCCCATTCAGTGTCACTGTTGGAAGGCCACCCTTATATAAAGCTTTAGTTTTAGTATTTTGTAGGCACTCTGGATTCAGGACAGCAATCCAAAAAAGCGGAGGGAGGAATAGCTCACAGTAACGTAGAGTAGAGTGGTCTTCCTGAAGGCACCGTATGTGGTGCAGTCTACTGCCGACTTCAGGGTGATTTCGAGAAAGGAGCTATTTACAGTAGGTGGCCTTTATTACGACTCTATGATGACCTGTGTTGATCTCGAACCACAGAAGGGTAGCAGAGACATGTAGCCGACACATGAGTTGCTTCGACCCTTTTGAACCGTTCCTTCCAGCTTCCTTTTGAAGACAGTTCCTGCGATTAAGTGGTCCGCGAGATGCTACCGTGCATTTGGTATCGTTGAACGCATTCGCAGAGAATGTACCAAACCACTCAAAATGGCGAGATAAGAGAAGCTAGAGATGCGTGATTATTGCAACCATTGCAACCACGATTACTTTCACTCTGCAAGACAACGGCTTACAAGCGGAATTGCGTGTGTACATAGCGTTGCCTGGAGCGTCGTAGGGTGATTTCCTGTGCTCTTGCCCAATGGTTGCACGTCGAATCCTGCTGATTGGGCTTGTCCGACGTCCGACAAACTCGTCCGAGGCGCAATTGCTACGAGGGTCTCTGTTCTGAGTGTTCCCAAGGTTTCTTTTTTATTCTTTCTCTAGTGAAGGTCACTTATGGGCTGCTGCTTCGTGACTGAGCACCTACTACCCGTAATACTCGACCGCTGGAATCGTCGTGAACTCATGAAGAAGGCGATTACGCAGAAAACTATACCGATAATGCTGATTTACCAACATTGAGTGGAGCTGAAGCTGACCTTACAATCGACACCTGCCGAGTTTTACTAGAAGCCACGATCGGTGACTCTCCTAACTACCTCTAACACTCCTATCCTCATCCAGCATCTATGACAGACAGTATTCGCCACCGCACTCACAACCAGATTCGTGGACCCTCCCTCTCCAACGCTGAGATATGGACTAAAACAGACATGAAACCACAAAATCTCCTACACGTGCTTACGCTGAAGAGAAAAAGAAAACCATGAATGAAAACTACCATCTCCAAATCGACCAGGTACTCTGCAAATTTCTGTACAAGAGGCTCATACATACAATCAATGGTGGATTCCCTTGCAACAACGAAACACATGTTGAAATTCAGTTGACCGCGCCCGTACCATGTTTCATGCTCTGCAAATTGCACGACTATCGAGAACCCAGTAAAGACTAGGTAAGCTTGTGTATGTGAGAGGTTTTATAAATATTACGGCACATTCGCTCATTTTCAATAAAAGGAAGTTGATGAAAAAAAAACATTTTCAATGAAGAAATAAAATAAATCGAGGGAAAAAAGAGAAGTGTTGGCCAGTAAGAAATATCAGGGAGATAATGCAATAATAAAGTATAAAGTTCACTCACTGAGTCCTATAGGATGACCCATAACTTTGTAATCTCGAAAATTCAGCTTTATAAGACGATTCAACATTTCGTCTTTGGGAATAATGGCTGCTGAGAAGGCCGAAAAACGCTCTGGAGATACCACATTTTGATCCTCAGGAATCTGAACTGCTTGATGAACAAGTGGCCTTCTCTGGGATCATATAAAAAAACTCAAACCCTTAAGTTTCATTAAAACAGAAAGAGGGCATAGTTCCGCGGTGGGGGGGGGGTGTGGGGAGTTTGGCACTTCTGCTACTTTTCATCGACGTGTCATGCCATAACCTGTTAAATCCTCTGAAGTCACGGAATGATACCAGTCAATGTTTGTAGAGACCTTTCAACTATTGTAAACAGTACCTGCCAATGTAAAGCAATCCAATACCATACAAATACCATTTACCATGGTGGCTCGACGAGCTTGCTCCAGCTTCACAAGAGTTCACAGGTTTCACCAGAGTGAGACTTGTAAACCGGAACTAGTGAAGCAGACAAAGTGCAAAATGCCCCCCACCCCCGTCGCCGAACTGCACCCAGATAGAAAAAACGAAAATATCATATGGTACCTGATAACGAATCACGGGCCCAATATCAATATCAAATTCTGCATAGAAGATTGCTTTGAGTTTCGGGACATCGGCGAAACGATACTGACCAAACAACCCTTCCAACGGTAACGAATCGTTTTCGGATGGCATTGCTCCTGAAGCCAAACGAAACTTAGCGCCTCACAACCATACCAAATTATTTCATAAAGTATCCAGGACTTCTACAGGAGGTCCTTTCGTTGAGTTCCTTCAAAGGCACGAAATCCTACAAGACTCATTTCCACGGCATTCTTTCAGTTTTCTAGAGTGTTGTTGAAGAGCATTTAGTGCTGGAGCGTGGAACGAGACGAATATAAACGAGGGATGGAGATTTCCGCCCCGCACCACCTAGCTCGCGGGAAAATAGTTTCTGTCCCATCGTTTGAAATGGAATGCAGTCCAGTTTGCTGCGAATGGAGGGACATGTCAAGAGGAATGGGCTTGGCGCGGCACTAAACCCGTTTTCCACCAGATTGCTGAAGCGAGTAAATCACAAGACCGTACCATATCGTTCGTATCAGTCGGGGTGAGCACCTTTAGCTGGAGCGGTGATACTGCAGGAGGTACTGTAGAGCATCTATCATTTCCTGAGGCCTGCCTGCGGCATTAACTCACTTAATTGCTGCGCTAACTGCTGACTACTCAGTGGCTGCTCAACGAAACGAGATAAATCAAATGGAATTCATATAGTTGTAGGAAGAGATACTTTAAGATTAGTAATTTCTCAATTCTATAGATATTAGAATGAGGATAAATGCCTACTTTGAAAAAATCCTGTCAAATTTCTTAGAAATTCGTGCTGTTAGGTGCACAGGTGCTTGGGACCTTCCAAGCAAAGTACTTCTGAGAGGATGAATTTTCGTACTTTCCTCTCACAGCATCTCTATTGACCTTGTCAAAAGTTCACACCCAATTCAAAATTTGTTTTAAAAAGATTGGTGGATGAGAACAACATCAACACACCTCGTTAGTATGTGTCGTTGCTCGAGCATGCTTCCAAGTTACTTCTCCAACGGGACCTATCAAGACTCTTTCGTACACTCACTCCTCACAGGTTCTATTCCGCCGGATTCTCTACACATTTTTGTTGCTCTACGCCGGCCCAATCAGTCATACGAATGGCTTCTATATGGGCTTCTCACCGATGCCTGTCTTAGTCTCTCACCGATGGCTGTTCTTCACGCCAGTTCTGCCCAAGCACTCACACCTGCCCAATTCCTGACATCTACCTCATGTCAGGGCATTCCTCCAGAAATACTCACAGGGTTCGCTGATTTCAGCTTCGCAGAATGTCATCAGAATGGGCCCAGTCAGGATCAAGTAAAATACTTGCAGAAGGATGGCTAGATACGTTACCAGTGAAACCATATAATTTTTGGAATATTAAGCAGTGTATTTTGCTTGTTTCGTTGTGAATTTGATGCCATAAAGGAGTATTGTTTGCATTTGGAGAGTCGTAAGATGTGTGGTGCACCTAGCAGCACAAATTTTAAAATTTCGACTGGGTTTCTTCTTGGATTTGAAAAATTAGTGATCTTCAGCATCAGTTCCTACTACCGAATAAATTCCATTCAATTTATCTCGTTTCGTTGACCAGCTGAGAGGCCAGCCTAGCGCAGCAGTTAAAGGCACATTCCGCGATAAAATAAGGCTATGACCTCTCAAATGTGTCGGACGATCCGGAAGGCGATTTTTGAGGCTGCGCTACTTTCAAAATGTGAAAAACGGCAAGAACTCCGCTAGAAGCTGACTAATTAGGCCCATGGACACCCCTTAGGCCCATGCCGACCCTCACCGGCTGCTAGCTACTAGCTAGTAGCCACTATGTTATCTTTCTCTATAACATTTCGGACTGCTTTTTCTGCTGCTTTTCTCCGCTAATCAGATACTTAGCACTTTTTTGTGCCTATTTGAGTTCCGTTTCCCGCAATTTGCGGTCGCGAACTGTGCCTTTAAGAGAGGTCATGCCGCATGCAGGATATGCCAGTGCTCTATATTACAGTCCTCATCATTGCGGACCGGTGGGGCGTGGCAGTGCGGCTGCTTTGGTGCGGTTTGGCAAAATCGTTCTGCACCAGTTTTTGAAGCGGGCAAGTGCATTACTGTATTATATCCTTCGTATTACTCGTTTTCTACCACTTTTTGTCGCATACGCGTTGCAACAAAAAGGCTGAGAACGGCTTCAACAGTGTGCGCACTCCTTCTGGCTGACACGCCCCACCGGTCCGCAATGATGAGGACTGTACCTTCTACAGTATCGCCGCTCCAGCTAAAGTCCGCCACCCGGGAGTGGTAGTATAGTTTGAGATGACCTTCTGATTGCTTTTTCGCACCTCCGCATACTTGCCAGCGGGATAGCCCCGCTTAATTGCTTACGCTGACTGCTGACCTCTCATCAAGTTACTGACTATGAGTTAAGTGAATAAATATAAGTGCTGACTATGAGTTAAGTGAATAAATATAAGTGAAGTTATATAGTTATGTAATTATAATAGTTATATAGAATGGAATTTTTGTAAACGGGAAAGGTGAGACGGGAACATGGATGATGGGTGGCAGGAAGTGATAACAGCTGACATGGGGTCTTAAAAAGGGAGGGTCACCAAGTTCATAACTTGCGCTGCAGCGGTGGAGCGTTGATTCCAAGAAGTGACATAGGGGGCTGGATATGAACTTCATTGGTGGGTGGCAGGAAGTGATATTAGCTGACAAGGGGTGTGCGCATTTTAGTTTGAGATGACCTTATAATTACTTTTTGCACCTCCGCATACTTGCCAGTCGGACAGCACTGCTTAATTGGTTACGCTGACTGCTGACCTCTCATTACTAGACCCACTCAGAGAGAATAAAGATAACTGAATGAAAAACCTCATTACGTGGTTTGTTAAAACATCAGTTTGGGTGGCACACACTACTGCGCGCCTGACGGATAAAACAATACGAAATGATTTACCATAGTAAATCGCGGCCAATGCCAACGTTTTTTTTTTCCCTTTCTCTTTTGACTTCGTTCATTCTTTTCTTGATTTTGCAGTAGACCTCAAATGTGGACAACCCTCGCCCCTTCCATTCGACGTGCAGTGAAGCATTAAATTTGTTGTTCACTTAACCTGAAATCCGTTCAACCTAGAAGTACAGCGGTAAAAAAATTAGGTGAAGATAAGCTCTCAACCTCTTATTTATTCCTATCAGTTGATATAATCCTTGTCCGCCATCACCATTACCACAAAAGCTTTATGAGTTGGTGGAGTGAAAGAGGGTAACGCCTCTTATCAGCCCCTATCAGTTGTTATCCCTCTCTGTGACCCATCAGTAATAACCCCGTCACATCCCCTATATCAGCTATTGGAACCAACTTCCTACTGTCAGTAGATTGATTTAGCTCGACACTAAGATAGTTAACGAGTCTTTATTCGACTGACGTTTCGGCGTCGTCGCCGTCTTCAGAGCCTGGAAAGCCGGAAGACATTCTCGAAACTACTCGTTCTCGAAAGCGAGCTAAATCAATCTGCTGACGGTACTTAGGAACATGCTAAGATTTATCGAGAATCGCACTTAGACCCAACTTCCTACTGATACTGTGACGGGCGACGCTTTAGTTTCAAATCCCCTTATCATTCTTAACAATTCCTAACGCCTCCTACCACCTATAATTGATATTCATGACCTAAACACTACATCATATCTTAAAACTGACGTCCCACCGATATTGAAACCCACGTTGTGAACTTAGTGACCCTCACCCGATGCCCTTATCATCTCTTGTCGTTTAACATCACTTCCCGCCAGCTACCAATGAAGTTCATGTCCAGCCCCCCCCTATCACTTCGTACAGTACGGTAACTTCAGTAGGCGAACAATCGTACACCGTATCCCCAGATGAGCCGTAAATAAATCTGGGTGCACACCAAACACATCATCTCACGACAGAACGTCGAAGTTGCATGCACAATGCACGTATGTGTTGTGGTTGCTATCGTACGAGCATTTTTGGACGTTTTGGGCGAGAAGAATAGCATGGCTATCGATCTGGCATCGACACATACACTATAGTTTTTGCTCAAAACGCTAGCATTCCGCTGATAAGTTTCAAAACCCTAGGTCGATAGCTAACGTTCCTTTCGCCCGAAACGCTCAAATGCAGACGAGAATTATGAACGCAGCTCACCGCAACCTAGTCCGAGTAGCTTTGTTTGATTCTCGATTGAATAAAAATCTGTTTAGATTTTGAAAACAACACAACTGCATCGGAATGAGAAAGTTTTTGCCTTCCACACTAGTGAACGAAAGTGTTGCACTACGCAGAAGTTTTTCTCCTCATTTCAGCACCTCTCCTCGATGGCTCGAGTAGTTGAGGTTTCATATGCGAGCTTATTTTTGAAGCTGTGAATAGAGCTTGTTGTGGCGGTTCAGCAGCGGTTTTGTAGATTGCAAACGAGACGAATAGTCCCATAAACGTTTATCTTGCGTAAGCACAGGGTTTGGGGCTACGCCCACGCCTCGAAGAGTTGGATGCGGGGATTAGGGGGAGAGGGTCATGGCCATCGTGGCGATGACGGAGCTGAGTTTGGATCTCGTACTACTGTATTTTGTTCAAAAAAATGCATGTCATCATTCCTCGTATCGCAGGAAACCAACAGGAAGCAAGCAGGCACTGATAAACACAAGACAAGGAGGCTATACTGTTATCAGAACCATGTCTAAGAATGTGACTAACCACTACTTGAACATTTGGAAGAAGAGGGCATTTAATTCACGCTCGCATCATTTTATTAATCATTTAATCAACGCATTCAATCAAGCAGGGCAATTGCGTGACCTGTGAAGGAGAAAACATGCAAAACTATTTTGTTGTACCATTTTAATCAATTTCGCGAAAGTCGTGACACTTCCATCTGGAAAATGCTTCAACAAGATGCCTCAGTAATGTGTAAAGACTCCGCCGCGATGCTATGAGAAATTCTGACCCAACGCGGACTATTTTTGATGAGTGCCGTTGAAACCCAATTGTACAAGTACATTTATAATAGAAAAATGATTTACTAGGAGATCCAACGGACCTATATTTTGTTTCTTAAACGAGCACTACTCCATGCAATCGTTCTAATCAC